TGCAGAGGCATCATATGCACTGTACAGAAAAATCTAAACTCATTGAACTAATTACCCTGGTACAATAAATCTAAGTGCACAACACTGGACTGTGTTCAGCACTGCACCAGAGCAATCAATTCTCCCATAATCCAGAGGGCTGAGGAATGAACTAAAAAAACCTCTTGAGCAGCTCTGCAGGAATCACTTTGATCTGGCTAGGCTTAGTAGTGGCCACATGCCATTCAGCCTGGCTTCATGTGTCAGGGCTGTATGTTATTCCCAGTTCATTCTATATGCAGTATTTTCCCCTATTACTCAGATTATCCCAAACATTTCTACCAAAGAGAAGTACAGAATTAATTCTATGGATAGTAAGGTCACTGTCATTCCTTCTTCCTAGACAGGTTTTGAGTATAAGAGACTATCTTACACACAAGCATCAGCTACATGTTATCTAGAAACCGGTACCGTTAGGTTACTCTCAAATGACAGTTTTTGGTACAGGACAGCATGGATCTTATGAAACCACGTAAAGCTCTGTGTGCTGACTCCCAGTGGAACAAGCTAAGCGCTTGTTTTTTGCAATAGTGACCCTGTATTCTATATGACAAACATGGGGTCATTCACAGCCTGCCACCTGGAATTATCTCTTCTGATGTTCTAAACTACTGAACACTCAGCAGGCCCAGTTCAGAATCTATTCAGAAACAGCTTCAAAGGGCCTCTACCAAAAGCTTATTCTTTAAGCAAGTTCGAGACTAGAGTTGCGTTGTGCCCTGCAAACCTGGAACACAGGCAAACTTTTGCAACACATCATTACCATAGGCTTCAAAGATAGGAGCCAGATAATCAGATGGGAACTAGATCTTACTGGTAATTATAAATTCATTTATGATATCAGGAACTCTGCATGAATAACATTCCAACATCTGAAGCTGTATCTGTAGCTAATTAGCTACAATAAGTATTTAAAACATACTAGGAAGCTACATGAATACTGGTAATATGTAACTGAGGAAAAAAACCTACTATGGTTACTTTAAGCAATAATAATAAGCCTATCATGTAGAACACTATCACACAAAATCAGATTCTACTAGTACGATTTACGTCTCTACTCAACTGGTAAGAAATAAAAGATGCATCTATGCAATTAACATCTACTCAAGAAACAAGCTACCAACTATGCTCATAAACATAATTTTCAAGTATGGAATATTTCTACTGACCTAAATGAAGTTAACAATGGCATGATTTTAGCACAGATCTGCCAGTTTTTTATGTTGTGTCTTCTCAGCATGTATTTCTTCAGTTTGCTTAACTGTTTCAGAATTCATTTTGGTTTTGAGATTTAGGGATGTATAGTCATTACTTGTTCTTAATTACAATTTTAATTAATTTTATTCACGAAGTCCCAGCCATCAACATTTACCAAATGCAGCTTACTTGCAGTAGATTTTGTTCCTACCCATTTGTTTTGATGTATGTTCTATTACCCTTTTTCTTTCTTATGGTCTAACATACCACTTAGGCCTTTCATTGTTACAAATCTGTTCTGTTCTTATCAATCTTACTCATGAAGCTCTTGGAGCTCAAATAATTTGAAGACCGGGAAAAAATAAGCAGAAAATGTAGCTACTCATCTTTTACACAGTAGGATGTATCTTATTACAAGCCTCAGATAAAGTCCTAAACTACTAGATAACATTACTATGTAAACACAAGGAAAAAAAACAGCTTTTGCTAGAAGACTTAATGCCCATAATGGACAAGTTTATACCGCCTGCAAGGAAAGCCTGTCAAATCAATAAAGGCTTTGAGTCTTTATATAGATTGAACACATTATGGTAGTACCCTGTTCTTCAGAAAATTATGTCCCATTTTTGTCAGTAATACATCTGTCTTCATACAAATATGTTCTTAGCAAGTTCTATATTAATTACTTCCGTACCTGGTGAACACCTGGTGAACTTAAAATAGCTATTAGTAAAGCTGGGAGAAGGAGAGGAAAAATAAAACCCTAATAAATAAACAAATAATCTAATAAAATTAGATCATTTTCCAATCAGATGAACAGGACTATGCAAAGATTATTTTCCTTTTGCTTAAACACATAATTATTCAAAGAGACATGTATGTATTTGGGGGATACAAGGAATATTTCTGCAACAGTCCCAAGATTACTCTCTCACTGTTACTGGCATAGACTCAGCAAATTTCAATATGAAACAGTAACAAAACTCACAGGTGAGGAACTGTGATGTGGAAGAAGGTTGGGGTTTTTTTTTTGGTTGGTTTTTTTTTTTTCTACTGTTAAAACATGAGATTGAAGTACTAACTCTGACTTTTTGGTGGGGTCTACAGCAAGCCTCTCTACTTTAGTTTCCATATGAGTACAATTAACACCCTCCATTGTAACTTTCAAACTGCAAAAGATCTACTCGAACAATACCAGATGGTCATTGTATATATATAACTGTTAGAGTAGACGAATCAAGAAAAAACAATTGGCTCCTGCTACTTAGTAAATCACATAAATCCTCACAAAGTTTCTTCCTTCTTTTTGCACGGCAAAAACCATAATGCATCATGCTAGCCTTCAAAGATTTCTGGCACTATTTTTTACAGCCTTTTTATCCTAGAAATAAGCATACACATTAGTTCATGAGTTTAATGCTAGTCACACAAGAGAGATTAATATGAACTTTTAATAGTATTTTTGAATACCTACCTTCCCACAGAACAAAGTGCTTTACATGTGTAACTTGGTTTTCTGCTCAAATTTTCAAGGTCATAAAGTACAATAACACCATCTGACCCACCGGATAACATGCTGAAAGTGTTAATAAAGCACACAAGTTACAACACTCATGATCTCAGTATAATTGAGTGTTTAGCAAGAAAATAAATCCATAGTACCTTAACACAGTGAAGCTTTTTTTTTTTTTACCAACGAAAGTATATACTTACTATCTTCCCTCAACAGGCTCAATATCAAGGGTGTTGATACCACTCCCATGTATTCTTTCCACATCTCTATCTTTATTTAATTCCAAACTTAGAACCCTTAAAACAACAACAAAGAAGAAAAACAGATATATGAACAAGAGAATTGTAGAATGTTACTATGTTGCTCTGAACAGCTCGAACTGTAGTTTTGCACTTCCTCAATGCACTTAACTCATCCCTGTTATTTTTTTGCAAAACTAGACTTGCAGACACGATACAGGGCTCAAAATAAGTCCTATGAAGTTGGCAGAAAAAATACTTTATTCTTTATGTTGTTTGGAAGGTAAGAGAGAAATAAGTATGTAAAATAGGCTCAAAGGAATAGCAAAACTGCATTTGGGGTCAACATATGAAACAAAAACCAGAATGCAATTTGAAAACACTGAGCAAAAGAAACATTAAGAAGCAGTTGTTCTAGTTGCAACCATACTAGTTACTCTGAGGCTTCATCATGTACCATCCTTCCAAGCTTCATCCTGCTTGGAACTATAGACACCTAGTGGACAGATTAATTTAGTGTAATAAATTACAGTATTTCCTTTAAGGAAACAATGTTTGTGTGTTATGTTTTCTGTAATATTAAATAAAAACTACGCTATCGACATGCTGAAGCTTCCAAGACAAACTCTTCTGAGCTGCAATTAGTATCTCATACTACTTAGTAGTAGCCTGTATCTTTAAATATGCTAATATTACATAGTCAAAAAAAAGACACACATTCTGCTTCCTTAAACCATACTACCTGATATTTACCTAATTTTATTAGCCTTACAAGATGATCGGTGCTTCCTGCAGCACTGATTTGTAAAAAACACTAACAAGAAAAACATTACTAAGGAGGTAACTGAAAAGCTGTAGCACAGAGTGCCCCTAATCAGCTTCAGCTTGAACAGCAAAAATCTGTATGTATGAACCTTAGGCTGTTACAGGCAGACCCCCAAGAGCATGTCTGTAGGCATGCTTCAAAAGTAGCAAGTCATTTAAGCTCTTAAAAGGAGATGTGAAAAATAATTATGCAAGAATTCAGCTAGAATAAGAATTTTGATCTATCATAAACAAGATACCCAGTTAAAAACTTTTGACCCCAAAATTCAATTTAGTGAAGCAATAAATACCTCTAAGGAAATGTTTCAAAACATATTACTATAAAATGTAGTTATAAATACAACCTACTGAAGACTACAGATTATTTCGTTTTAAAGTCAAAATTAAAATGTTTAGGAAGAGAAACGTTAGGTAGACAGCTGTCCAAGTAACGTAAATTCTGTCCACTGTGCTTCCATTTTTAACACTGAATGCTACACAAGTGCTGAGGGCACAGAAAGGACAAAATCATGGGGTCAAAACGCACACAGAAAGAAACTTCCTGAAATCACCAAAATTAACTTCAATTTTAAACACTCTTTTGACAATGATACAGCCACAAAAGCTGCATCATTGTATGGGTAAATCACCCACACAAGTCCTTCCTGCTGCTAGAGCTGTGTAAGCAACTGAACAGAGGTTGGCTTTATTGGATATCTCTTGAAATACAGCTGCAAAACTGATTTTCTGATAATGAACAAATAATATCACATAACCTTTAGCAGGAATATTAATAAGCCTCCCTGTGCAGGCATCACTTTCCACAAAAGCTACTAGGAACCTAATAAGACACCTGCATCTGAGTCTTTTGCAACCTGCCAACAGACCAAGTTTTGGAAAGAGGGAGGGCGAACTGATGCGGGCGTACAACCATCACATAAATCTTGTCTATTCACAAAGCAGAGGGTAGCCGCACGCAAATTGAAACATCTCCTGAAACCGTTAAGGTAGCAAGGGCAGTAACACTGAGCTACAGTTTATTGCCCTGTGCCTACTCAGCCTACCGAAGCACCATTACCCAGCCCACCCCAGGGCTGCTGATCCGCACACGTAAACAGGAAAAAACCCCAGGGGAAACTCCGAGACGAGGCACGGCAGACAGGCGGGAGCCTCTGCCCGGGAGCCCAGGCCGGCCCCAG